TGGACATGGAGGGAAATTGTTAAAGAATCCTCAGCTCCTACCTCCCAGCTCACAGATTGCAAGTTGTAGTAATGAGACGAACATGTAGAGTCAGTGAGGTGGACTTGTTCTTCATGAGGGATTCATTGCAAATCCAATGGATTGTGGTGTGCCAAGATTCCGAATCAGCCTTGCAGATACTATGGATATAGCCCCTCCTATTGTAAAGAATGAGATAAGATTCTTTACATAAAAAAAGGTGATGAAATCTCCTTTCTGAGTTCTGTCTTGCCAGCAGCACATCATCAGGTGCTATATTCCTTGAAACATCTGACATTAAATTGCTCTTGGGATGACAATAAGATTATCTTGTTTCTATATTATCATATGAATATGTACAAGATATATCTAGCAATGCATCCTCTTATTTCCATTTCTTGGATAGTCTATGTCAGTTGAAGAAGGCTTGAACAGGAGAGCTGATTCCACAGATCTTAGCAATGAAGATGCTGGAGACAGACTAAGCTCAAGCACAGAAGACAGAAGAAGAGATCTTGGTGACAACAGCTGTGAAAGTTGTGAAAGCAACAGCTTCCCCAGGGAGGTTTCCAGCAGTAGCCTTGAGAGCTTTCCAGAAGCTCATGAATGGAGCACTCAGGACAATGAAGAGAGAGATTATTTTGGACATCAGATGATCCATAGGAAAAGGGCAGACAACAAGGATTCCCACGATCACCGAAAGGAAATAAATAAGGAGAGCTCTGATGACGAATCTGCTGGCAGAATGTCATTGGTAGGTCTTAAAAACATTCTTTTATAAGCAGTGAGGTGCAATGGATGGAATTGTTTTGACATTAGGGAAACAAAATTAGGAAGCTAAGAACAGTCAACATTTAGTGATTCAAAATGCAATTAATTTAGGGCAGGGGTGTCAAACTGTCATGCCGAAACTGTGCCCACCCTATTGCTGGCCATGGAAAAAAAGTTGCGATATGTCGTGACACGTCACGTGACGTTGCGAATTTGATACCCCTGATTTCGGGCATAGGGAAAGAGACCAAAGGTATATGAAAAACTATAAGAAGGTATGTGTGCCTATTTTTTGACATTATGATTTGTGAAAGATTTAGAGTTGCAAAATGAATTTCAAGGACACCATGGATTATATAAGTGGAAGTGGCTGCCAGCTATTCAGAAACAAAAATAATAGTTTAAATATAAATTACTAAATATGCAGTGTTATTATTATGATTATAAATCATAAATTTTATGCCATTGCTTTAGGAAGGCCCTTCAGTAAAATAGGAAATAATGTTCTATACTTTAAAAATGCGGCTATGAGATGTACTTTTGTGAATGAAGCTGAATAGAAGCCAGAGCTACAATTATTCTATGAAGACTATAAAGTCTTAAAATGACCCTATGTTGTTTTTCCCTTTATTTGTCTTGTGGCACAGGAGGACCGAAGCGAAGGCCATCTTTTGGGGGCTAACAAAGAATCCAAAGAACAGTTTGATGTTGAGAATGATGGCATGGTTTATACTCCAGAACAAGTCCTTTATACTTTCGTGGAGAAAGGGGGAAGTGATCTAACAGCTGAAGAAGATACCAGTGGTGATGACTCTTTAGCTGGAAATAACGATGAAGACCCTGGGTACACTAAATCTCCAAGTGAGGCAGATGCTCTGCGACCTCCAGCAACTCATGGAGAACAAGATGGTGGTCATACCGGAGGCCGACATTCTGATGATAGTAGCAGCAGTAGCAGTAGCAGCAGTGAAAGCAGAAACCTTGAGAAAGAGGACAATCACATTATTGATTATGGCAGAAGGCATGGAGGTGATAGTTACAGTAGCAGCCAAGAGGACAGATATGATTTTCAAAGTGAAGAAATGCAAGGAGATGAGCCAAGGACTTTTGAGAGCCATGACAGTGATTCCCACATGCTTCCTGAGGCTATTCATTCAAAAGAAAGCAGCCAAGAAATCCATAGCAATAGCAAAACAGTAGAACATTCTGAAAGAAAAGCATACCATTATGTTGATGGTGACTCAGATGAAGATAACAGCCCTGAATATGAACAGAACAAATCCTTGAAAGAAGATGATGATAGTTCTGAAGTAGACAGCCAACTTGTAGAAGATATTAGTCAATCAATAGAAAATGTTCCCAGTCAATCCAGGGAAGATGAAACCAGTCATTCTGGGAAGTCTGTAGAGAGCTCATCCAGGGGACAATCTAGAGAGAACCTCAACAGCCATTCTAGAGAAGATATGCATAGCCAATCCAGAGAAGATGATAAGCACACCCGCTCCAGGGAGCATGATAAGCACAGCCAGTCTAGGGAAGATGATAAGCACAGCCAGTCTAGGGAAGATGATAAGAATAGCCAGTTCAGAGAAGATGATAAGCACAGTTGGTCCAAAGAAGATGCAATCAGAGGGCATAGTCAGAGCCAGTCTAAAGAGAACATGGGCAGCCATTCCAGAGAAGACAAACATAGCCAATCACAGGAAGATGATGTTCATAGTCAGTCCATAGAACTCTCTAGACAATCAAGAGAGAATGAAAACACAGTCTCTGAAGAAAATATAAAGAGTGACTCCACTGAAGATACCAGAAACTCCCAAGAAAAAGTTGTGCAAAAGTCTAAAGACATAGAAGAGGGATCAAATGAGCACAGTCCCAGCAAATCTCAGGAGAGTCACTCTGTTGAAAAATCAGGAAACATGCCACCAAGAGCCGCTGAATCCAGAGAATTCAAGAGGCATCACAGCAAATCAAGTGAGAAGAGCTCTTCTATGGAAGAGAGTGAAGAATCAGCTGAAGACACAAAAAAATCCATTGAGGATGACAGCAAATTGTCTCAAAGTTCATCATCTGAGAGCAGCAAAGTATCTGAAGAAAGTGCCAGCAGTGATGACAGCAAAGTGTCTCAAAGTTCATCATCTGAGAGCAGCAAAGTGTCTGAAGAAAGTACCAGCAGTGATGACAGCAAAGTGTCTCAAAGTTCATCATCTGAGAGCAGCAAAGTATCTGAAGAAAGTACCAGCAGTGATGACAGCAAATTGTCTCAAAGTTCATCATCTGAGAGCAGCAAAGTATCTGAAGAAAGTGCCAGCAGTGATGACAGTTCAAATGAAGGGAACGATCAGCAAAGTAGATCAGCAGAAACCAGTGAATCCAAAGAGGAAGTCAGTCGTTCTATTGAAAGACCCAGTCAATCAAGAGAGGATACTATGAGCCAATCTGACAGCATGGAAGACAACAGTTGGTCAAGAAGCAAGGAGCTTGAAAGTCGAAAACTAATGCTTGACTCTTACCATAACAAACCCTTTAGTGATTATGATGATAACGATTGCCAGGATGGGTATTAATTTAATGCATGAAAACAAAGAAACCCAACTCTGTTCAGTAGTTTGAGATCAGGATTCCTTCTTTTAATTTATTTAATTGTTTTAGCAATATGAAAGTTGACAGGTAGTAATGATAATTCTAGAGTCTCCAATGAAGCACAAATGCATCTGAGAAATGTCAAAGATGAAATCAGTTTCTGCAAGATTTGATATGCTTTGATGGCTATGGAATTAAGTTCAAAGAGAAACATGAATTATAGCTGGGTGATAATTCTCAGAATAAACAACTGAGAAATTTTGTAGAAACTGAAAAAGTTTGGATAACAGTGGCAGCTGCCAGTATGTTTCCTTCACAAACTCGGCTGTCATTCAATACTTTTTCAGGGGCTGATATTCATTTCTTTCACACAGGCCTACTAAAAAAAGATTCAGTTTACACACATGCACATGCACATATGTGTTCACAACAATCCAAAGACACGTGGGTGACTGTTGTTATAAATTGTGCCTATGATCAGTTTAATAGGAAAATTTCTCCTTAAGTGCACAAGGTTCCCACCATCATCATCATCATTATTATTTTTAATAAGCATAGATACCCTGCCCCCTAATTTGCACTGCTGAAATCTGATGGCACAACACAGATCATCCCATGCTAGAAACATCCAACAACAAACCTTTTTAAAAAAATGCAGATTTCAGTCCCAATTCTTTGTTATGATGTCAACAGATTATCAGCAGACTTCCTATGGGTTTAGAAGAAGAAGAGGAATAACCCTTGGCCACATACAGTTGTCTAATGCTAGCTTCTTAATGCAACATCTTCTCCATCAAGGTCCACCCATCAGAATGAAGGTTAATATCTTAGAATGTGTTTGGTTCTTGCTATCCTACCATGGAATGCCTACCATAGATATTTCTATTGAAATATTAGATAATATATAGAGGGGGAAAAAAACTATTGCAAGATGGGTTGGCTGGCTGGGTGCTCAGACATGCTTCATTTGTGTTTAGGGGCAGGTTTCCCCTGGAAGCAAAGCCATCCTCATAAGGAATCTTTGCACCTTTTCACAGAATGCTTAATGACAGTAGAACAACATAGGTACAACATTTGTGTATTAAGATTAGACTCAATGGCTTGTGACTAAGTGGCACTTAAAGAAATTTAGTTACTACAGGGACTGCACAGAAGGAGACCAAGAAAATACATGTCCTATGTTAAATTCCAATGCACTTCAGCTGGTCTGCAGCCTTAGAAATATCATTAATAATTGGGATGTATGTAATATTTTGTAATAAATGTATAGCTGTATTGGAAAATATTATATTTTAATCCCTTCTTTTTATACAAGTGGACTTAAATTAAAAATAAAGCAATCATCTTAGCAATAAAAGTTTTTTTTAAAACCAAATAATTGATTGCCTGCTTTAACATTTACCATAGGAGAGACTTTAGTATATTTTATTAAGATTTGAATTCTGGAGGGTCACAATAATAGCAGAACACACATATATATTTGGGAAATAGAAATGCTTCCTTCTCATACACTAGTTTTTAAGCAAAAACATTTTAAAAAGTAAGAATTTTTTTGACAGTAAGAGCAATTAATCAATGGAATAGCTTGCCTCCTGGGATTGTGAGTGCTCTATCACTGGAGGTATAATAATAATAATAATAATAATAATAATAATAATAATAATAATAATAATAGTAGTAGTAGTAGTAGTAGTAGTAGTAATAGTAGTAGTAGTAGTAGTAGTAGTAATCCCCCAGTGAGGCACTACCTTGACGTGGTTGTGGGGCTTGTGTACTCTGAGGAAGATGAGAGCTTTGCCAGAGGTTCAACCATACTGGACAGGTCTCATCAGAGGAGTCAGACAAAGAGTGTCTCTCCCATAAAAAAATGGTGAGACGTAAATTTCAGAATGCCATACCGGCTCAGATGTCGCCCGGGTTAACAAGGTCCGCGCTAGATATTGGAGTTCCTGGATATCTGGTGAAAAATGGGTTACAGGACTCAGGACTGTTGGATGAGCAACCAGGGCCAGCAGCTGCAGAACTACTGGAAGAAAAGGTGTTTACCCGTCGCAGATACACAGTGATGGAAAACAAAGAAATAATGATCTGTTACTACAGATCAAGTCCAACAAGAAGAGGATATCTAAAACGAATGCACCAGTTCTGGAAAGAACAACAGCCAGAATCAGAAATAACAGAACAGAGACTAGCAGATCAACGCCGATTTATAACACGAAATAAAATATTCACAGAAACAGAATTGGACGAACTGCAAAGGTTTACCCAGGGCAAAGAAATCAAAGCCTTACCAGAAGTAATTCAGAATGTAGAGGCAAACCAGGGGAAGTTGGCAGTGAAGGAATCTAGCAGAGATATACAACTGTTTTCATTTGGAAACCAGGCACCTCTACCTCAGGAAGAACAAAACCCTCTAACTAAAGAAATAAAAGAATTGAAACAAAGAATAACTGAGCATCTAGAACAGCACAAACACAACAGAATAAGGCTACCTGCATTGAAGCTTGTTCCAAAGAAACAGCTAGCACAAGCATTAAAAGATGCAAATACTGCAATATCAAGTATAAGCACCAATTCACTGCAAGAAACAAACCAACTAATGTACAGCACAGCTGCAGTTATAACTGAATACCTGGGATGCAAAATCAACAAAGAAGAAAAAACAAAAAAATAGTGCACCACAAAAATGGAAGGTTAGACTAGAAAATAAGATCAGCAAGTTAAGATCACATGCAAGCAAGCTAGAAAAGATGAAAGAAAAGAAGCTAAAGAACAAGAAGACCAAAGAATACCTAATCAAGAAATACCACTTAGAAACAAGGAAGATCAAGGAAGTACTGGAAATAATAAAGCAACAAATAACAGCTATAGCCAGGAAAATCAGTAGATATGAAGCTCGAATTGCAAACTATAGGCAGAACCTCCAATTTCAATCCAATCAGAAACGTTTCTACCAATCCATCAATGGAGAAACTGCAAGGAATCAGTCAGTACCTGACAAGGAAGAAACAGTGCAGTTCTGGAAGCAGATATGGGATAACCCAAAGAAATACAACAAGGATGCGGCTTGGTTAAAAGAGGTGGATGCAAATAAAACAGAAGTTGAAATGAAAGAACTAGTAATAACAACAAAAATGGTAGAAAAAAGAGCAAGGAAAATCAAAAATTGGTCAGCACCAGGTGAAGATGAACTGCATGGGTTTTGGTTGAAACATCTAACTGTTATACACCCACTCATTGCCAAGCAGTTCAACAATATACTACAAGGAGGAGAAATTGAAAAGTGGCTAACAACTGGGAAAACCTACCTAATAATGAAAAATCCAGCAAAAGGGGCAACACCAGGCAACACAGGCCAATTACCTGCTTACCAACAACTTTCAAACTACTAACTGGTGTGGTAGCTGATGCAGTACAACAGCATCTAGTTGAAAACAATCTCTTTCCACCTGAGCAGAAAGGAAACCGCCCCAAAGCAGAGGAACAAAAGATCAACTCCTAATAGACAAAATGATCTTGGAAAACTGCAAGAAAAGGAAGACCAACCTGAATGTGGCATGGATTGACTACAAAAAGGCATTTGACTCTCTGCCACATGACTGGATAATCAAGTACCTAGAAATAACAGGAGTCAGTAGAAACATCAGAAAATTTGTGCAAAGATCGATGGCACAATGGAAGACACAGTTGCAGATCAATGGTGAGAGGCTGGGAGAGGTTAATATCAAGAGAGGAATATTTCAAGGAGATTCATTATCACCATTACTATTTGTTATTGCACTGTTTCCTCTGTCAACAATACTGAATAACTCAGGACATGGCTATCAAACATCAAAAACATCTACCAGACTATCCCATCTCCTTTACATGGATGATCTGAAGCTGTATGGAAAAACATCATCTGAAATAGAATCGCTGCTCAACACTGTCTGTATATATAGCCAAGATATTGTATGGAGTTTGGCTTGGACAAATGTGCCACACTTACTATCAAACAAGGAAAAGTAGTGAAAACTGAAGGAATCAAGATGCCCCACGAAAATAACATTAAGAGTCTGGATGAGGAAGATTACTACAAATACTTGGGTATCCTTCAAGCTGACAACATCAAGCACACTGAAGTCAAGAAAAAGATTAGAGGTGAATACATCAAGAGAGTGAAGAAGATCTTAAAGTCCAAACTCAATGGAGGAAATACCATAAAGGCAATCAACACCTGGGCAATTCCAGTCATTAGGTACACAGCTGGAATAGTGGACTGGACTCAAGCAGAACTAAAAGCAATGGATAGGAAGACCAGAAAAATAATGACAATGAATCATGCCCTTCATCCACGCAGTGACATTGACAGACTTTATCTACCAAGGCAAATAGGTGGGCGTGGAATGCTACAAGTACATCAGATGGTTGAAGAAGAAAAAATGGCTTTGGAAGAATATCTGAAGAACAATGATGAAGATGCACTGAAATTAGTATATCAGGAAGGCTTACTGACTACTGGAGAGACCAAACTGGCCTACAAGAAAGACCAAATGAAGAACAGAATAGAGGCATGGGAAGACAAAGCACTACATGGCCAATACATTAAAAAAATAGCTGGGAAAGCAGATAATAACAAGACCTGGCAATGGCTAAGAGCAGGAAAATTGAAGAAAGAGACCGAGGGACTAATTCTGGCTGCACAAGACCAAGCCTTAAGGACAAATGCATATAAAGTCAAAATTGAGAAGACAGCAACAGACAGTAAGTGCCGCCTATGCAAAGAAGCTGAAGAAACAGTGGACCACCTGGTAAGCTGTTGCAAGAAGATTGCACAGACTGACTACAAGCAGCGGCATGACAAAGTAGCAACAATGGTGCATTGGAAGATCTGCAAAAAATATCATTTGCCTGTAAGCAAAAACTGGTGGGATCATAAAATAGAGAAAGTCATAGAAAATGATAAAATTAAACTGCTCTGGGACTTCAGAATTCAAACAGACAAGCACCTGCAACATAACACCCCAGACTTAACAATTGTCGATAAGAAAGACAAAAAAGTCTGGATAGTGGACGTGGCAGTGCCTGGAGACAGCAGAATAGAAGAGAAAGAACTGGAGAAGATAACAAAATACAAAGACCTACAAATAGAAATAGAAAGACTGTGGCAAAAGCAAGCAAGGGTAGTACCAATAGTCATAGGCTCCTTGGGTGCAATCCCAAAACAACTGGAGCACCACTTGAACACCATTGGCATTGACAAATTCGCTATTAGTCAATTGCAAAAGGCGGCCTTATTAGGAACTGCTTCCATCCTGCGACGATACCTGTAATACCATCAAACATCCACATCTGCCTATCCCAGGTCCTGGGTAAGGACTCGATAGGTAGACAAAATGCCAAATCCAGTCTGAACATCTGGCTGACTGTGCGATGATCAATAATAATAATAATAATAATAATAATAATAATAATAATAATAATAATAATAATAATAATAATAAAGTTGGAAGGGACCTTGGAGGTCATCTAGTCCAACCCCCTGCTCAGGCAGGAAACTCTATACTAGTGGTTCTCAACCTGTGGGTCGGGACCCCATTTGGGGTTGAACGACCATTTCACGGGGGTCGCCAAACAACGCAGTCCGCCATTTTTTCCCCCTTTTCCTTAGCTTCGCTTTTATTCTATTGGCTTTTGAAAGCCAATAGAATAGACTCTCTTGAATAGAGTCTAATTCTATTGGCTTTCAAAAGCCAATAGGAATTGTCCAGGCTGTCTCTGCCCTGCTGAGCCCGCCAAAAGTTCCATTCTGCAAACGGTGCTGCAAATTGTCTGCAGAGAAGGTGAGCTGTCTGGAAGTTTCCACTCCTCCCTGCTGAGCAACTACTAAAAATGTAAGTAAAAGAGAGCCAGGGGTGGGAGGTGGGAGGCCGGCGGGCGCAGGGAGGGTTGCTGGCGCACGTGGGGCCTCGCGGGTGCTTTACCTCCCTTGGGCTGGGCCAGCTGGTGGTCGGCCTGCGCCATCTCTGCTGCTTGCCAGCTACGCCTCGGCTGGCACAGGGGGTGGCACCATGCATGCGCGGCGCTCCCGGGCAGGGAAAGTCCTGGACTTATGACCGGTTGGGTAGTTCTTGACTTACGACCGGTTGGGTAGTCCTTGACTTATGACCGGTCGGGGTCGCGGCATTAAAAAGGTTGAGAACCACTGCTCTATACCATTTCAGACAAATGGCTGTCCAGTCTTTTCTTAAAAACTTCCAGTGTTGGAGCATTCACCGCTTCTGGAGGCAGGTTGTTCCACTGGTTAATTGTTCTAACTGTCAGGAAGTTTCTCCTTAGTTCTAAGTTGCTTCTCTCCTTGATCAGTTTCCATCTGTTGCTTCTCGTCCTGCCTTCAGGTGCTTTGGAGAATAGCTTGACTCCCTCTTCTTTGTGGCAGCCCCTGAGATATTGGAACACTGCTATCATATCCCCCCTCGTCCTTCTCTTCGTTAAACTAGACACACCCAATTCCAGTAGCATTTCCTTGTATGCTTTAGCCTCCAGTCCCCTGATCATCAGGTTTTCAAAAATAGGCTGGACAACCATTTGAATGGGATGATATAAGACTCCTGCCTCCTGCCCTGGACTAGAAGACTTCCAAGGTCTCTTCCAGCTCTATGATTCTATGAAAATTCGAGGGGAAACAGGTTTTCAAAAATTATGCACCCATAACTAGGCCTACAACCAGATCTAATTCTCTT